AAAATATGCCACTAGGAATTTGAGGAACACTGTGCCGCTTTCACGGTGAAGATATAGGACACGGTGACGTAATTCACTGTTTTGATCTCAGCATTCCACCTCATTTAGACTGCAAAATACGGTAGTATTTTGACGTGTATGCTAGAGGGCATTAGATCATTACTGTACAAAGGCCTTGGTAGCAAACTGCCTCCCTTCACGCTTTTACCACTTCATCATTAACGGAGCTTTCACGGCTACTAGGACAGCGAAACTGAAGATAGGACTGATTTTATCGGGAAAAACGCAATTACAGCATGTGTACAACAGAATGTATCTTACGTATGTACACTTCTGGCAGCTGTCTTGAAATTTGTGGTGCAATAGAATTTTAGCGGGTTGAAAAAGAATTACACTTAACAAATGTAGCTGGTCGTCATTTCTTGGATAACGATATTTCATGCATTGCATTCGGCGCTAGGAGATAGAGATATATTCAATCTCCCTAGGGTGAGATTATGCAGATGCTTCCTTCTGAAATGTAAAACCAGCTGAATTGCTTCATCTTGATCATTGATCCCCACATATACACCTCTAGACTTTGCAGTCTCTGAAAACATCGTCTACGTAGCGGTGCAACTGCCTTGACTTTCTAATGACATTTCATGCTGCCTGCCCCCCCTTTGCTTCTCAAATTTGTGCCTAGCTTCAGGACGCAAGTTTATGGGGCAATTTCACTTTCCAATTTGTTGGAAGTATCTTGTCGTTTCACCGTCTCCTGAGACGCATTCGAAGTTTCGTGATGTAAAGTAAAGACGTTAGCTGCGACTCATCTTGGAGCTTTCACCGCCTATAGACCATTTTGGAAATAGTGAAGCGTGTCATGGTGACTCTTATCGAAAGTGTTTGTGCATGATATAAAAAACAAATATGGGAGCAGCAATTTGTAAACTATGCCAATAAGCGCGATGAAGGACTCAGACAATCAGCCTCACGATCTGACCCTTAGTTCGTTACCATCACGCTTCGTTACAAAAAAGTTTGTTTGTTAGTTCTACAACGTCTTCACATACTAACCCAACATACTGGTGCCAAAGACAATGGTAGGCGAGATGACTGAGAGTCAGTGACCCTCTGCATGTAAGGCATTCAGGACTGGCAAAATTTAGTGATGAGAAGAAGACTTGTGGGAGCTTAGCTCTGCGACTACCTCACAAAGCTTGCTACCATTGTTCAATGAAGGTTTCAGCATATCATAGGGAGCAGAAATTTTAAATGCAGCAATTTTATCCCTTCATCGCAGACACCTTTCATGTAAAAAGTGGCGGTGTTTCAACAACCACATTTATTATCAGTGCATTCACCTCGTGTTATCAGCCTTATTCTCAGATGAAGACAACGGTTGATAACAGCCTAGCTTTTCACTGTCCAATACTTGAATTATTTCTTCTTTGGGCATCATGTACATGTATTTATGTATATATTTACGACCCTTTTTGGCCCATTGCAATAGGTTTATCTAACTTTTCCGATGGAATTCTATGGTGGATGTGTGCGCGTAGGGTGAAAATTGTTCAACTTACACCAACTGAATGTCTCACTCCCAGGGGTTAACCTGCTGTTTCATGAGGTAACTTGCAGATGAAGTATGTGGAGGACGCGTGATTGGTCGCTCTCAGTTGAACCCCATTGAGAAGCGCTGTTATCTAGCGGATTTGTGTAGTTATTCTGAAAATACTGAGCGGTGAAAAGACAGTTCAAGGGAAATGTTTCCCTTCTCGGTGATATGTTTCTCGGTAGTTGAATTAATATTCCAATCGATGACTTGGGGGGACCTACTTATTCGGAACTATTTTACATACCTTATGGATGTTATTCGTCAAAGCACTGAAAAGCTAAGTGAGCTGGTTAGCCGGTTAGCCACATTCAGGGTCACTTCCTTTACCAACAAAATACACACTGGCTGCTAATTAGTGACGAGATTCGAAGTGAATATTTCGGCTCTCTAACGCGAAGTCTGGATACAAGAGATCAAACATGTAGGAAATCCAGCAGTTGTCAACCAGTAAAATTAGGCTGCGACTACGCCAAATCACAGACTGACAGAGGCAGGGACTAGTGGACCACCGGTTTACAATCTGGCGGCTGGGAAGTAACCGGACCGTCCTGAAATTCGGGGGCTGTGGGCTCAGTTCCACACGTCGTGGGTCTACACCGACAAGCGGTTGCACAAAATAAGAAAAACAACCAAGTTACACCACACTCGTTCGCCGAAGTTTCCTCCATAATGACCTTTCTCTTCCCCTATTATTATGAACTCGACCTAATCTTACGCCCACCTTTAAGATATTGCGCTTCTCCACTTACTGTGCGCTCAATAACATCACTTCTATCTCCACTTCCATTATCCTCACCATTATCTTCCATGCTCCATTACTTACATTCTAGGTTATATGACTTAATCCTGCCCGCACAAGTTCTTCATGTCAGTGTTTTCTTTACTGCTCTTATAATAATAATAATAATATATTTCATGCAACAAAGGTTACATGAATACAAACCAGTTTACAGGTTTGACCACTTTGGTAATGGGAGATAACTATTATGTACAATGTTATGCTATACATTAGATGCTGTGATGTATGGCATATAGGAGGCATGTTGAAGCAGGCTCAGTTCGAATTTGAAGATTATCCGGTCATCGTTTGAATCATCCAATATTCTTGAAGGTGAGGCCGAAGTTTCTAGTTTTTCTTTTCCCGTATCTTGCCTTTCTTCCTCGGCTTCTTCTTATTACCTTTCCACAGTTTACTTTGACCATATTTTTGTCCTGCTTGTCTTTCTTTTACCACTAGTTTGAACAACTGTCTGGCAACATGAAATCTGAGGAGCCCATCTGTACCACAGCACCGCGGCAAGTCTCACATCTCCCCACAAATTTAGCTAAAGCCCAACAGCCCATGGGGCTTGCAGGGCTACAGCAGGTGGTTGAGTAAACCCGCTGCATCATAGTCTGTCAAGAGCCCGCGACCATTTTGCAAGACCTACAAGTGAGCCTGAAGAAACTAAATGGTTTTTGTGAGACCTATGATAAATTGTAGAAAACTGAGTGACCAAAATTTATCAGTCTTTTATACTCACTCTGTTCGCGCTGGCTATAGGAAAGCGGAAACGCGGGAGAAACGTTCACACATTTCACCATCAAAGGGGAACAAAATGACATCATTTTCAGCAAGAGTGAGATAGGGAAAGACCACCCATTCACTTCCGAGACCACCGAAGAAGTATAATTAGGCATAAAGAACGGAGCCTCAAGACCAAGGAGTGAGAGATCGAAAAGTACAAGTTTCCTGTGACTGCACTGTTGTTACTGGATGTTGTTGGATGTTCATAACAATGTTCATGTTGTATATTGTATATTGAGTGACCACCTCCCAATGAATCTCAGCTCCCCAATTCTACTCCACACTGATGTTAAGTTATGGAGAGCTGTGACTTCGGAAAGAGGAGAAGGTGCACTTCAAAATGACCTCAGATTACTTGCAGACTGGGTGGATATAAATGGACTTGCATTTAACTTAGTTAAGTGCGGAGCCATGTTTCTTCGCATTCCAGGCCCTCAGAAGGCACCCTGTTCCCTCTGTGGAACACAACTTTCTCATACCACCACGGGGAAAGACCTAGGACTAATACTCGCTGAAAAACTAAACACTAGCTCCAGTTTCCCAGGAGATGCCTTCAGAGCCTACGCAGTAGTGCACTTCATGCGCAGACGACTCGGTACCCTGACCCCAGAACTCTTTTTGCAGCTGTATAAGACCTATATACGACCCCACCCATAGGTACACAACGTCAGTGCACCACCATATCTGAAAAGAGACGTGAATCTCCCAGAGAAAGTTTAAGGGTGAGCTACAAAGGGTGTCATGGGAATGAGGCGAAAACCATATCAGGACAGGCTGAAAGATGTAGGGATCTACTCCCTAAGTTACCGTAGATTACATGGTGACTTGATAACGGCTTGCGAAATACTAAGTAACCCAAGTCATCCTAACAATGGAATCCCACCGGACGACCACTATGGCGATCCTCGTGGTAACCCAGGGAGAATAGCCCAACAAAGAATGAAAACCCGTGTGCGATCATACTTCTTCTTCCTGCGAGTTTGTAGGCACCGGAATTCATTGCCTGCTTAGAGTGCTACTGATCCGTCTGTTGACAGTTTCAAGAAGAGGTTAGATAGTTATGCAACGACGCACGGTTCGCGTTTATCCAACTGGGATGTGCACTAGGCTAACACGACCTAGTAACTCGGTACGGCCAACAGTTGCTGAACACTTTGCAAAACCACTGTCACTAGGATCTTGGCTCAACCTCACACCTTCCCATAGGTGTCCTCCCCAGTTACCGTCTCCTACTGAAAGAATTACCATATTCTCATTCGTCTATCAAGTTATTTATTATTCCTCCCTCTGACTTTACGTTCTCAAACTTCAACAAAAGCCCTCCCTATCACCCACTCCAAATAAACCTACCAATGCTTCTTCTTCCGCGCCGTTTCCTCTTTCGTAGTCTTTTTTCTTTTTTCCTTCTCTTTTTTTATTTTGTCTTTCTCTGCGCTTTCTCTCCCTTGATTTCTCTGCACATACTATTCATCTCCTTTTTACAGCTAGTCTGACCAATTGTCTGCTGGCGCGACACTTGGGGAACCCATCTGCACTACAGTCCTCAGATGAAAAAACAAACAAACAGCACTCCCTACAAATTTAACCAACACCCAACCGCCCGTCGGACTAACCACAGCTACAGCAGCCGAGTGGGTAGACTTACTGCATCGGAATCCATCAAAGACCTGGAACCGTTCCACAAGACTCAGAAGCAAGCGCGAAGAAATCAACTGATGTACACTAGCTCTTACAAAGACATTGGGTATTGGACGCATAAGACAGCAGCGATTTAAAAAGCGAGGTGCTAAGGTTGGTAAATTTTATGTAACAACTTCCAGTTACTTCCAAAGAATAATGTTTCGTTTCGAAGTTATCTACAAACTATTCCATTACTTGTACTCCCCCTTGGAGGACGTAAGTGTTGATGAGTTCTCATAGCACAGCACTTCTTATAGATAAATAATCTTGGTATTTGGGTGTTACTCCTAATGGTTGAAATTGCCCTGTTTTTCTACCTAACATTTAAACATCAGTATATAACTTCCGCTATTGTTTGCATATAGGCTAACAAACATGCATGTTAATTAATATGTTAACAGACATTTGTACAATTTCATTAGTTTGGTTGTTCAGGATCACTCTGTTTGATGTAATTCGAAGATAGCTTTGAAAAATGAATTAAGCATGAGCTATATAATTGAATGTTTAATATCCAGCACCTGTAATTGGAGTTCTGGAAACTGATAGATTTTTATCCCTTACGTCTAGTCCTTGGCACTTCGTTCCTCTTGTTTTCTGCTCCTGTAAAGAGCAAGAAAACCTTATGCTTCCTTGCTCATGTCCGTATAGGCGTCTGAATGGAAATGGCAAAATGATGGGAAACGGTGTTGCTAACATTTGACTGTTCAGTAGTCCGTTAATCATGAAAACCTAATTTACTATGTATGTGCCACTTAGCCTTTGTTGTTATGGTAGTGAGTAACTCATTCGTAGCCTACCAGCTCACTTTTGACTAGTAAACATATAATGCCAATTAATGAACCAAATGAAAGCCTGTAAATAAAGGCACACATCTATTTGCTATATGATATTTTATAAAGTAGTATTGTACAGCAAACGTTTAGAAAAACACCTTGACACATTGCAAGTAGTCCCCCTAAGCAATAATGGTCACGCCTTAATATTTCCTCTTGCGTCATATCCTAGCAACTCTAGCTCCTAAATTTTGGTGTTAGCTTGTCTTAGCAATACTAACTTTCAGAAATTCCGTATTAGTCAGTCATGGTTTCTGTGAATTCAACCATCTTAAATACCCTTTAGGTAATTCTACATGGTACGTAATAGAAGATAGCTATTAAATTGGTTGTAGGCCTTACCTATTGAGTCACAGCTCACTAGTTGAACTCGATAGGAGCGTTTCATTGGGTCATCTGCCTCAATGAATTTGAGAATATTGCATTGTAGGTGACTGTAAACATGATAATTATGCACTGGTAATCTCTACCGATAGCTGCTACATTGACAAAGGGTTGCGGTTTGCATATTACGATGGTGTAACAAGGTATGCTAGTGAGAAGAGTACCAGGGAGGTGTACTGGATAGTAATGACTGTAAACAGTAACCGTTATGATGTGGATATCTACTCTACGACGTGATTCTGAAGGCAGCATATTACTACTGACTGGATAGGTGTGTAACTAGTAATGTTTCCCTTGAATAACCAGCAATTTATACTTATACTACCCCTCTATGGTTCGAGTGTCTGTAAAGATCAGTTCAAAAAAGTGAACAGTTTGCCTTGACCTGTGGTTTTACGGTGCTTGTGGTGTTCATTTCTTTAGGTTCCCTCAGGCGGACAAATATAAACCGTAACATGGGACCCAGCATTACTGTGTAATGGTCCAAGTTGCCACACCTCATATCAGCACATCAAACAACAACTCAGGAAATTGAAAAATGAAGTAGATGAGAAAGCAGCCAGGGGTAGCAGAGAGTTACTGAAAAAAAGCAAAATGCAATGGGACAACAATAAAATGCAATATTGAGATGAGGATAATGTATGAATGCATCTGAGCCACGCCACCTGAAGTCTCCAACCACTGGTTTCTGTTGGCCCGCAGGCCTCTACCGGGAAGACGACGTTTCTGTAGACAACTCAAGTCAAAGACCTGGTAGGCTGGTGTCAATCTGAACCTACTTCAGCTAAAGTTGTGCGACTAAGCAAACGTTGACTAGGCATGTGTAACGCATATCCCATCGACTTAAGCCGATTAAGAGTCATCGCCGAACAAAGTGGCTTTCTTCTTCTGCCTAAAACCCTATACTTAACTTTTACATCATTGAGGTAGTGGAACCATGATACGACCAATGCAATGCTAGTAACGACGATCTAACACTTAAAGCCTTCTCATGACAGCCTTTAATTAACGTGTTTCATACCGATAAAGAAGAACAGAGAGAACTGTAACCCAGTACACTCCTGTGACGCAGTTGCATATCACAATGGCACCATAAAAGGTGTAGACTGGTGGAAATCAGTCTAACCTTTTGTTATCCGTTGTGAGATTTCGTCAGCCACTGGCCTACCAGGCTTAGTCTGACTTTCTAAGTGGGTGAAGTGGTTAACGTGTTAAACCACTTGACTCCCTTTTGTTCGACAACGCACCACTGAAGACCTTATCACTGTTGACCTTTGACATCTTTTCCTAATGATCTGTCTTCACAGCTTTCAATATTTATACGTTATCTTTAACTTCTACCGGCTCCACGGTCCGTAATAAGGAGCAACGTCCACGTTACCCTAAGGCTCCTCTATAAACTGCATACCAGAACTTTCAGTGTTCAAACTTTTAAACACCAGTTGATTTTATTTATCATCTGCGTCTGATAGAGTACAATGAAGAATAAAAGCCTTCAAAATGCATTAATATTAGTTAGTAGTTTTGACTCACTTGATATTCAACCAGTCGTGGGTTTGAATTCCGTTCCTCCCACTTTGGGATAGGTAGGCAAATGGCATCCTAAGTCGTTACCTGTTTATTTTGGGTTATAGTTTAGTACGGTAAACCGTTTCTGATTCTTTGAACCTCATTTCATTTTCACTTTTAGTCAGGAAAGCTTTTTATCCACCCGAGCGTCTAATTGCTTTATATTAAATATTGATAAGCAGCTCTTGATCAGATAAACTTGGTGCCTTCAGAAAACATCCAGAAGGCTCTAAAAGTTATGGTGTATGATGTTCAGGTACATGAACATTGCCTACATCATCTATGATGACCTATTTGCCACCAGTCATCACAATTTCGGTTGTATTGGATTTATTTAGTGAAGAAACGACGTGGGATAAAATAAACGTATGACTGCACAGAGTTGCATCAGTTCAATTCGCTACGCTTCACAGTAGTATACAAAGAACAAATGGATAGGAGAAGAGTGATAACAAAAGAGACAAGCTTGTGTGAGAGAATAAACAATTTGGAGATGATGTTTAGTACAGATGTTGAAGCTATGGAAGAATCCAAAGAGTGAATACATCTGCACCATTGTGACCGCTTTTCTGCCATTTCACCACGATTCCTCGAACGCTGATTTATGTTGTCTGGGGGACTACAGCCAGGTAGTCCACACCTCGCTACATGTCTCACGCCGACAGTCCAAGACTTGATCGACTCTATCCACGTCGTAGTTTAGCTGCCCTGAGCCTTCTTCCAACCTGCTCCCATTTCTATCATTACGCGTCGAAGTCGGCAACTGTGCAGCGTACGCAACACATGTCCAAGCCACCTCAGTCAGTGAATGTTCATAAACTCGTCAACTGACCTGTCTTCTTTGCCTAGTACTCTTCACCTGATATCTGGATTGTTCACACGATGATACTACCATTGGTGAACAATTCTTCTAAGACGACTCTGGTCAAAACCTTACCTTCTACCTTCAGCCACCAAGTCTCACAGCTGAACAATGGGACGAAGTGAACTATATGCTCGTCCTTCAATGGGTATTCGGATGTCTTTTCAGTCGGCAAATGCCAAGTGGGCTGTCTGTATTAGAGCTGAGATTTCGTCAGTAACTAGCCTTTTGAGTCTGGTGCAGCTTCCCAGGTAAGTTAATTGGTCCACGCATCCAACCGTTTCACTCGCAATTCTCAACCTAGGAGTATTTGTATACCAGTCCTGAAGCTTCATTTAACATTTGACAGGCACAAAACGCATCCTTATCATGCTTAGGTTTCTACTCATGGGGTTCGAAAGACGCTGCATTTTGTCAGCGTTAGCAGGATAGTATTATGTGCATACTCCAAGTCAACCAGTCACCTTTCTGCGAATAGACCACTCCCTCTGAAGTTATAAGTACTAAGGTTATTTCCATTAGTACATATATCATGAAATTAAACAGGAAGAGTGATAGAGAGCACCCTTGGTGTACACCAGTTAGTGTCGTTATTTCAGATGACAACTCTCCTTAAGCTCTTACATGGCTGCGTGACTTCGAGGGAAGAGCTTTGATCGGTGTTATATACCTTCTCGGTGCTCGTTTCACAGTCAGAGAGACACCACCTCACTGTCGACAGGGTAGGATGCCACATTCAGGTCCGCCAGTAAGTATGCATTTGTTCGAGAACCTGTCGAAGAATGGAGATTTGATCGATACAACCTTTTCCAGGCATGGAAACTGCCTGGTTTTCTCGAGTTTATTATCCTCGAGCCCCAGTTAGGTGTCGGATAACAATGGGCCCCATGATCTGGGACACGATGTTAGTCATGAAACTGACTTTCCTGCTGTCATCACAGGAGGACTTCTATCTTGGACGAATGATCAATGAAGTAGACCAGTCTGATAACATTACCTCTGACTACTAATCGCTACTTCTTAGCTCCATTAATCTACTCAAATTATTTTCTACTTCATTCTGTAGAAACTAGTGGTGGGAAACCGTCAGGTCCAGCTGCTTTAGATCGTTTCAGGTTCGAAACAGCCTTCTCAACTTCAAGGAGAGTTGGAAGACCGATATCCACACCCTATTCAAGGTCAAGCTGGATGTTGGGCAACTGAAGCGTTTCTGTGCTCCATTTCAAATGACTTTCAAAGTGTTCTGCTCAGCGTTCTAGCCACCTGTCGTAAGAAATTGTCAGCCTCATCGTTTTCGGTGATGGTTTCACTTGCTATTGTTTATTTCTTTCCTGTATCCTTAATAAGCCTAAATAGTTGCCGGGTGTTACCTGACGCTAATGCCTTCTCCACCTCTCTCGCTTTCGCCAGCCACCACTGCTAGTGTTCGTTGTGGAGACCCTTGGTCAGTTTGTGTTTGAGCTACTTTCGCTCTTCATTGTGGCGGAGCCAGCTAGAATGAGTCTTCTCGCATCCGTCATTTCTGATGAGGTTGCAGAAATCCATTGGCGTTTGGTAAGCTTTGGAATTAGGTTACGAACTGTTCTTGCCGCTGTTTCTACTGTCTACTTAGTATTGCGCCATGTTTCCTCAGGATGAGCAATGCTGTCGATTTCAGATAGATGCTTAACTATCTCCTACCTAACTACGTATTTGGTGTTCTTATCTTCTTATCGAGCATAGAAAGGCTTTATTGCTACCTGTTTTCTGTGAGCAGTGATGCGCAGATACACATGTGTCCGAACATAGTGTATCTGTGTCCATTTTTGGTTTGATTTCGGTGGACGCCATATGAAATAGTGTGCCTCTCCTTATGCTTGAAGTTAGTGCTGTGGACCATTACTCTAGGTGACTGACTTCCAACTCGAGAGTTACTGGTTCGAACTGCACTCTACCTGTCGATGTTTGGGCAGTCGAGTAGTATCATTAGCCGTCACACAATAGGTGTGGTTCGTTGCCTACTACATGAATGTGCACAATATTTCTAGTTCATTTCGCTAAGGGACAATGTGAATGGTTCTGGTCGGAGATCATAGGTATTGTTATTCACCAAGCAGGATGATTTTGCAACGCTGTTTGCGTTGGTGAGACATGTTCCTGGAATGTCATTTCAGCAGCTTTCAGTTGAAATATTCGTGAGTTCTGAAGGAGAGAGAGGGAGATGTGCTGTCATTTGTGGTTCGGCAACCAGCTCAGTGATGAGGCTAAGGTGGGGTTTTCTTTGTAAATGGACAGTAGGACATCTAAAATCAAATTATTTCGTAAGTGAAGACTTTTTCGATGATTTCGTAACAATATAATACGGTATATTGAACCAGGTTTTTTGTTCTAAGTGAAGATACTTTAAGACTTTTCATTCATCTGAGTTCATCACAGGTTTTCAACCACCGATGTGGTGAAAACTATTACTTCATTGTCAATAGTTGTTAACCGCTAGTTAGCTATAATTCGACGTAAATTTAAATTAGATCGGATGTTTTCCATAGACATTAGATGTACAATGTCTGGAGGTCAAATTTATTTTACGTGACTAAGTTTAGTGCTACCGTTACTTCTGTGAGATTCACGTGGCAGTTGATAATTTCTCCAACGTTTCTGTCGTGAAGCAGCTTGAAATTTAAGACGACCACACCCAATGAACGATGATATTCGTCACGAACAAAACATACGCCTCCTCATTTTAAGGTTACTTACATGATGTTTTCACCGGGTGTAGTTAACTTCTACAGAGATGACGATGACTGAAGATGCATAGTCTTTAGATATCCTCAGCTGAGACGTGTGAGGTTTCTCAGGTGTGAAGCAGAACTGACGACATGCCAGATATCCTACAGAAGTGACCTAGATAGGTATATATCGTCCTGGCTGTCAATATACGGTTGGAAATGCCATGAGTCTTGTCTCCACCACCAGCACTTACACAAGTACCCAGGTGCATGAACATTTTGTTAACTTGCAACGAATCACCACCACCAGACACTGTGCACTTTGACGATACTAAGGTCGTGTCATACGGAGAGTGGTCGCCCACTCGTTTGAGTGTAATTTGAGTAGACTGTATGTTGTCTCAAAATGAAACAATATCGTCGACATACTCGAGGTGTAAAAGTCTTCCATGTGGTAACAGGTGTGGACCACTGCCAGACACTTGCTTCAGGATTGTCACTAGAGTGTCGTCCATAACAAAGTTGAGAAGAAATGGCGAAATTGGGCAGTCCTGCCTGAAGATACTATTGGTTTAGGAGAAATGAGTTAGGTTACTGTAAGCCTTTACTCTTTTGGTACTTGAAGCTAGTGTTTTTTTAACTGTTACATGCAGTTGTATGACCGTTGCGTGAAGTGTTTTAAAGCGAAATGTAAAGTTCTGGATAGAAAAGATGGGTTGGTAAGTGAATCTGTGAAAGTATACTACACAAGGTGGTTACATCAAGTTTCATTCATCACAAGATACTAGGTACTGAAAGTACGTTCGTAACTTGCATAGGTTGTGTAGAAGCTGAATGATCTTATACCATTATATGAAATCACAGATCCGATTTGGAGATTTAGAAGAGTGTATATTTTCTGTTAGTGTTCCTGTAAATGTTAGGAACCATAAGTTAGAGATACTAGTTTTTATATCCCTATAGTCACTTGTTATATTTTTGTATTGACTACTTGTTATAACCCTACTTAAATATATGTGTATGTCTGAACAGCAACTTTCGGATTCCACTCCTTGATGGTGGCTCAATTTCTTGATAAATGGAAAAGGTGGTAATATAACAGGTGTATTACAGCGTGAGAAATTTGTGCAAAATACAAGGGTTTATGTATATTTATAATGGCTTTGGGTATTTTCAAGCCTTTCTAGATTTAATTATCTTTTCGATTTTCGTCCTTCAAGCAATGTGGTAATTTTCACGTTGGTTCATGTGCTTTCTATTGAGACTTCGGTGCAGCATGATTGGTTGTCGAAAGCTTCAGAGATTGAAGACTTTTTATGACAATCTTATTGCAAACTATAACTCTAGGTGACGAGACTGAGAAACGTTAACTGGTGAGGCTATACTTACTCTCTGGTTATTTCTTATTACTTTTTGTTTACATGACCCTTTTCCACTTATAGTATTCTTCTGAGTTACTTCATTTGTTTTGTTTACTGTTATGAAGTGGATCAGTTGAGCCCGACATGATTTTGCAAAGCGTTTCGCGTTTTCGTACCTCCATTTATATCTACTTACATCCTTTCAGAAAAACCGTATAAAATTTAGACTTCTGAATTTTTCTTCTCAAACATACAGATGAATACATTCCCTAGATCAATTTCGTTCACCCGTGCATTCGGTATTTCTGTTCGATGCCAAAGTATTGCCAGTTCTACAAAAAAGCAAGCTAAACATAAGATTGTCATTGTGGGTGGTGGTTCAGGTGGTTGTGCAATGGCCAATCGTTTATGTAGTCATGTGGACATGGATCAAGTTGCTGTTATTGAGCCATCTACGGTGAGTACTTATCAAATGTGCTTGATAGCATAATTTTACTAAGTAGAGCATAACAGTTTGGCAGTTGACGAATTTCTTAAGACAGAAGCATCTTAAGGAGAGTCAGACTTTCCATCACACAGTGTATTTAGTACGTTAAAAAAGTTTGTAAGTCCGATGCTGTTATGCATGTTCTTTTTCATGTAGGAATTTGCAAGACATGGTACACGTTAGTCGGTCTTTTTGAAAAGATCACTTAGATGAGTGTGAGGTGCACCGTAAATGTTGAGCTTATACCTGACAGCTTCAAGATATGTACATTTAATAGGACCATAGGTCATAGCATACTATGCTAAGGCACTTCGTATCTGCTTATTAGAGTTCACTAAACTCAGGTTGACTTGTGGACAAGTGTACTTGTATTTTGCCTGTAACCTTTTGGAACCGATACAATTTATGCAAAGAAACTGAGAAGTTTGAACGGTGCTTTCTGTGCTTGGTATACTGTGGATTTCGTGTAGGTGTCACCGTTAGTAACAATAATTACCTTTCAACATATTTAAACTCGAATTCACAGCATCCTAGTCCAATTATGACTAGTATTTGAGTATTGAATATATTCCATGTTTATCTTAGGACAGTAGTTTCCTGATATTTGGGTAAAAAGTAGACTTGTACACACAAAGTTCACCTATTTTTATTTCCTTTTCAAATTCAGACTCATTACTATCAACCATTATTCACTCTAGTTGGTGCTGGAATTAAACCGCTAAAAGAAGCGCATCGTCCTCTTCAAGAAGTTTTAACGCAAAAGGCGAAGTTGTATCAAGATAGAGTCACGCACATTGAACCAAAAGACTCATATGTTGTACTTTCGAATGGGGATAAAGTGAGTGGTGGCTTGTTATTTTGTGCAGAATGAGTTCTTAAAACATTCTTGTTAATATGATTATGATTAGTAGTAGTGTTTCCACCTTAATATTGTTTGTTAATGAAATGCAATCAGTTACTTTGTAAGTCTTGAATGTGGTAGGATGAATTGAAACAGCAGTGGGGTCTTTGACTCGTCAGTCAACTAATGGCAATGGGTGGTTTGATGTGAGGAAGTGTAATTTTGAATGAGGAGTTTTATGAAATAAGAGTATAGTTTTGAATGTGTTGAAGTTACTTGCTCCGAATAGTTGGCGCCGGTTTAGTATTCACAGTTGACATGTTTTCACCTTCTCATTTTAGTAAGACGGGGTTTAGAAATGATATACAGCCAACATTTTCACTACTCTTTGGGAGCGGGACCGAAGTTGAACGTAATTATCCTTAGATAAATCGGTATTAGCTCCTGTTGTTACTTACATATGACCTTTAGATTAGATTCTGGCTACTAGAAAAAAAAGTTATGGGAGAAATAATAAGGAGATGAGTTTGTACCTCTTCCTACTTGGTTTTTTACCAATGTACAATGCGGAGTAAGTGTTTCATATATTTGTAAGGTTTGTTTATCATCATTTATTAGCATTTCCTTAGTATGATATATGACTTTTCTGAAGGTCACTCACAATCGATGGTTTATATCTGTCAGTGACTATGTATTTTGGGACAGCACTGCCGAGGTTTAGGCTACTAGGTGGCGTCACTAGGCGTCAAATAATAGGTGTGTCTCATTGGCTACTTCACGGATTTGTACAGGTTGCTGAGCTCATTTCGATTCTATTGAATTAGACTCTGTTTTGCTGAGTAAAGTATACGTTTTATGTTGAAAAATATTTCTAAAACAGCTTGCTTTCCAGTCTGAAAGAACGAAGGGTATTTGTAATGTTTGTGTTTTACAAAATAATTGTTCTCTTATCTTCTCAGATATCATACGACTACCTCATTCTGGCTCTTGGAATGGATTTACGTTTTGATAAGGTAAGTTTGTGAAGACTAGTTTCAAGATTTATCCTCCCTTTGTTATTATGTTCAGTGAAATGTTTCATATTCTCAAATTAGGTATCCTTAGTAATGGTTACTGCATGTCTTGGATTTCACAAGTTTGTTGGTTGTTTATTGGATGTTAGTCGAAGTAAAAGTAATATGGAGAAAGAACCTCTTCCGGGTCATATTGAGAGTTTGGTAATTTTGAACCTTCAGATGTGATGCTTCGAGGAATGTGAACAGTGGTAAATTGACTGAAAACTGACACCGCTGGTAAAGATGCATTCTCATATACATATATATATTCTCTCTAAACGCGTTTCATTTTAATTGGTTCTCATTTGTTGTACTGTTTTGTAGTTTAGTAATAAGGTGAACTAATGCACTGAATTGTTAACTGTAACCCATCCACTCACTCGTTTGTATACATGTGAAGACTATTCTACATCACTCGAACAATTCAGTTAGTCAGTCTATGAGGATACAATCTAGTACTACTGTGTGACGGTCCACGTTTCCATACCTTAAATCACTATGTCGGAACAAGACAGGAGTCGAAGAAAGGTAGTCAGAAGATGTAGAGTGTTGTCAGAAGTGAGGGAGATGGATAGTATGATACGAAAGATATCACAATTATGATGAGTCTCTCTAAACTTGGTCATTTTCTATTATAAAAGTGTTCGTCAATATTTCCAATTTTCAATGTTCTAACACTGTGACAATAAATATAAATTCGAATCACGACTATACCTCAGTGTAGTTTACATCAGTAACTTCTTATTTAAAAATGAAAGGAACAATTCTAAGGTGTTTACTCCCTATCAATTCCAAACTCTTTATAGAATTAAGGCATACTACACGGTAGATTGCAGTGGTAGGCTTTACTCAGATTATGGAATACTGAGTGTACTTGATGTATTGTTTATCTTTCTTTGTTGAGTCTAATGATTTAGTGACATATTAAGAAAGATTAATAGTGTCAGATGCAACCGACAACTGTGTAAGGCCTTATAGTTGGTTGTCGTCTGTATCGACCACAACCAGATGTATCCATCAGAGTATCCGCTATCACCTTTCCTACTCAACTTCATCTAAGACGTACTAATATGGACAGAACTCCAGGTGTCTCCGAATTTACAGTGACTTACCCACTCCCTGGACGACACCTGGTCGACTTGGACTACACAGATGATATTGTCCTGCTGGGTGAAGATAGTGACAAAGCAGAGGGTCTTCTGAACACTTGAGTAGAAATTTGAGTATGTTTGGCATGATTTCTGTACATATCAAGTGCAAACTGATGCCTCATGACTGATCTGCAGCTAGTACTCCCAATTTGAGGATAGGAAGTGAAGTAGTGGAGTGTATTGACCACCGTTTACTTGGGAAGTTGCATAAGCACAAATAGGTTGGTTGGTAAGACAATTTAAACTCGGATACAGACGTGTCGTTTACCACTTGCCAACCTAATTCTTCTCTGACATCGGTGAGATATCCGATTACCCATTAAAGGACAAGTTTACTGCTCTGGAATCCTCGATGTCCTGTTATGCGGTTGTGAGACCTATTGGTTGAAGGTGGGAGATGTATGATGATAGGTTTTTGACCAGGGTTAGATGGTATCATCATGCGATCAATGCTGAGGTTATTTGACGAATAGGACTAGACATGGAAGACAGGTCACTCGATGATTTTGTGACATTTAGTGACTGAGGTGGCTCGGACATGTGTTGTTGCACATGGTGACTTACAATAATAACCGAAGTGGGATTATGTCGGAGGAAGGTTTATGGTATCCAGCCCAAGACACGGTAGGACATGGAAGGTATAGACTACTTGATTGTGGTTTTCAAGAAGGCAGGAATGATTGGTTGGACGCCCTTGGTGACGTGGTTGAAAATCGGTGATAGTGGTGCTGCAAATATATTTCCTGTTTGACCTCTGGAGTTTGAACATTTCCCCTAACCATCATTTTCGAATTCTTTCTCCTCCCATTCACTTTGCTCTACTTTTAGATCACTCTTTTTCTACCCTCTTGTTGTTCGCATACAGCTTTGAAGTTCTACATTGATTTTGGTTGTCTATCTGTCTATGCGGTTCCACTTTTTGTGAACCCGAAATGTGTTTGAGAAGGGAACAATCCGTTTTCATATTTCCTCAATAATTTTCCTGATATTACTTTTTCTGTGTTCATTGTAAGGTGTTTTTGATGAAGGTGACGTGGATTTGAATGTATGATTTTTACAGATCATTGGAGCTGAAAAAGCTCTGAAAACTGACCCTCGTGTATGTTCAAACTATTCTGTTGAGTATGTGGAAAAAACTTTGAGAGCATATCAGAATTTCAAAGGAGGTAATGCTGTGTTTACACTCCCAGCTGGACCAATTAAATGTGCTGGTGCTCCACAAAAGGTTATGTACCTATTTGAAGATTATCTCAAGCGAGTAAGTAGTTTTGATTTTTTGATTTATACGTGTTTAAGAAATAAATGGAACAAGATACTGGACAGTTTGAAAGTGATTTTTGTAGTGAATTGATTCCCTTTGTGTGACCATTAAACTTAGGAAGTACTGGAATACGTGTTGTTTTCGATTCCGAGATCTCTCATCACCAAATGCGTATTATAGGATGTAGAGATATAGAGATTCCTCATGCATGATAAATGGTGCAGTTTTTGATGCTGAAGTTTAAGGTGAAGCTTCAAGCAAAGAGACTTAATTTATTTCATACACATTTTCCCTTTATCAACTTTAAAATAGCAAGTGGTTGTTGGCAGCTGCTTACAACCCACAGTATTTACAATAACAAATCACAATCAAATATTAACATTCTTTATTTCAGTGAGATAAGTGTAAACAGCACAATAACATAGCAAAGTTAGGAAACTGTCCGAATTGAAATAAAGTCAAAATGTCGTGTAATGATGTCATAAATACATCTTATTAAAACGGAAGTTCTCGTAAACACTAGCCTCGAGGATCTGTTTTTCCTTTTACGTACGGCCTGCCTAAGATACATAAACAGAATGTCCCATTAAGACGAATACTACCAATGTTTAATTGACCCTATCACAAAGTTACTCACTGATTAGCGGAAAAGTTGAAACCTGTTCGTCAGCGATTGGCTAAATGCACTATGAAAGACTCGTTCCAGTTTGTTGAGACGGTAAGTCAATCTAGTGTCTGGAATGAGTTTATAGTTTCCTTCGATGTGACTTCCTTATTCACACTCAAGATAATATCTGTCAACCCACCAATCTCCTTCTATCAACAGTTGAATTCAAGAAGCATAGAATATGTACGAAAGATGTCCGGTTCCAGTTTGGAAATATCCTGTATGACCAAGTTGATGGAGGGGCAATAGACAGTCTATGAGACCGTATGTTGACAGATATTTTCATGGCTAATCTTGAGGTGACAAAACTCAAATATACCACTGATGAAGTAACACAATAGATACTTCGACGACACGTTTATTGTTTGCAAGGGTGTTACACTGCATATCACATCTCCTTAGAATCTTCAATAAGTGTGATAAACACCGCTAACTTAACAACAGGACATGAAAAGAATTGTACTTTCAAATTTCTGGACGTCAGCATTCGACAGGGTTGATCGTGCATTTCAAAGATCTATCTATCTAGCACAAAGACACATGAAAAGGCCTTTACCTTAATTTGCATAATTTCTATGCATCGAATTAACTGAAAACGAGCACTTGTTAAGATACTGTTGTGTACAACACGAAGAATATCCTGAGTAGATAAACTTAAAGAGGGGTTATTTATCACGAGAGATTGTAGGTTAATTGATTTTACTGGATTTATTGTTCTCCTTAAAATCGGGAGTGAGTGGTGAGCAAGAGGGTTAACGAGTCGATCACTTTCTTGTCTATTCCTCTGTATATCTTATTGATGAGTGAAGTGAAAGTTTTACTTATGCAGAGGATGAATTTCAAAATAATACAAATGAATATTATTTAGCTAATATAAGATTGATAGGCGTAAATGAGTAGATCTCCTATCACTTCAATAGGTTTGTTGGTTGGTGGCTTAAGTGGTCATTTTAAGTATTGAGTGGTAGATGTGAACATCTCAGTGGGCTTTTTGATGTTTCTGCTGCCGGATAGTATTGTGTTGAGTGTCAGAAAGTGAGTTTTATTCATAGTCTAGCTAATAAAGATGGATTGTTTCATAACCCATTTCCGTTGTTGATTGAGTTTATTGTTGTTTTCAACTATCTTTTGTAAATGTTATTGAATCAAATAAGTAATCGTTTTACTATGTTAGCATGAACTTTTAGGAGCTGTTAGTGTTCTGTTGAGAGTGAATTGACGGAAGTAACTCACATCCTTGGTATTTATTATTTTGAGTGAATGTTTTCCTCAGACAAGACGGAAAAGCGTTATCAGTTGGTGTTTTCTGCGTAGTTATGTAGATCACAGTAGTTGGGTGAATATTTTGTATAGTGTGTGCTAAGTCTTTAAATCCTGTTATCGTTTATATGTGCACGACTATTGCATCTAAGCAACCAACAGGAATCTGGACGATTTGATCAGTTAGGGTTTTTGAACTGGATGAGTCCACGTACGCTAGTTTTGGAGTCGATGGTAACCAAGTGGAACGGTATTCCGGCACCTAGATTATCGTGATTTGGTTAGTGAAGACTTCCATTTATCATTGCTTAGGGACACTTGTGAAGTTCTTATCCGAACATACTGTATCAATTAGTTTTCCTTCGAGAGTCCCTACTCTCTGAAGTTAATTTTCCTTGCTTCTGAGTTGACTGGTTTAATTGTGACCGAGATACTCTTAAAGTTGATGTCGCCAATCTGTTTCTTTGTATCCTTCTGTGTACAGCGCACAGGTTAGCTGGAAAAGAAAAACGAATCCACTGTATTTACATAGTTTTATATTTGCCTTTTTTTGTTTTCCTCTCCTATTTTAGTTTGGAAAGAATATTCCAGCTGATATTCATTATTTCACGGCTACAAATAAGATGTTCTCAGTTGACAAATATTCCAAATCTCTTACGGAAATTTGTAAAAAACGCAAATATGTTGCAATTTGTCACATAATCTGGTTGAAGTAAGTGTAGTCTGTTGGCCTGTATGATTTTGGCCTTAGTCTGTTTATTTATACGCATTACTGGTTAACTGTGACATCCTCTTCCTCACTCTCAGTCTTGGCAGGTTTTAACTGTCGAGAAGTGTGTTCACATAATGTTTGGTAAGAAATACTAATAGTCTCCACTGTGAATGTAGTAGTAGTAGTAGTAGTATTTTCGGACTTAGCATTCTTTGTTTTAATGCTTGTGAAGTTGTGGCTGATTGGTTGTTTAGGGAGGTGACTGTTAACCAGAGTGTTGTGAGTACGAGCACCACCCCACCTACTGAGTTCTGGGCAGCCAGGCAGTGTCACTAACCGTCACACAATAGGTGTGGCTCATTGCCCATTGGAGGAGTGTGTACAAGGTTGCTGAGTGGGTTTCGATTCAGTTTGGTAACATTCTAGCCATCAGCTGGAGGGTAATTAAGAATTGATGGAGATTGTAATATTCTCATGGTTATTCATTTGTATCTTTCTATACTTGTTTGAGTGTTGATTTTTTTTGGGTTTTTTTTTGGAGTTGTGATGCTGAATAGATATGACCTGAGTGGTTGATTTCTTCATCTGGACTAATTATCGTGTTACGTTTTCGTATAATTGATTGGCTGCCTAAATGTGATTCGATTGATTGTGGTTGTGATCATTCTCTTCTTCTGGATAGTTATGGATTCGAATGCTGTGAACACGTGTTGTTTGTTGGGTTTCATTAAATCCATTCTGCTACATTGGTTTTCATTCCTAACTGAATCGGTGCCATTGTTATTGTTTGTTTGGTTTGTATTTATGTTTGAGTTTTCTCTCGATTATTAGATTAGATTAGTGTTTGTATACGTGTAATTTGACATTTGTTACTCATTATTTCTGAGCGAAGCATATCAGTTCACCACTGAGTGGTATGAATGACTAATTTACTTTAGGAAGTATATTTTGAGTTGAGAAGTTTGGCAGTAATGTGAGTGAATGCTTTGTTGAAAAGTGGGTTTACGCCTAACCAAACTATACTGATAAGCATGTTTAGATGCTAATAGTCGATCGGATAGTTGGATGTATTCATAGGTAAATGAAACACGACTGGAGTATTTAGAAAGCGGTCAGGGTGATCTGCAGATCAGATGAATGTGAGCACCAGATGAAGGTTTGACTGGTTTGTAGCCTAGGTCATCTGCTGCGAGAAATGTCGAGATGAGCCGTGCAATTTGTAAATTATTTGTAAACTGGTCATCGTATTTACTGGTAAAGAGAGACTGTGTGTAGAGAACAGTCAACTCAAATGTGCTTGTTTGGTGCGTCACTTGTCGTTAACGGTATGTGCTAACATTTAAACAAACATCTTGAAGCTAGTAAGTCATTCCATAGTTTAGTATTACTTAAGCTTAATGACCAACTCATATCGGTTGGTAGGCAAAGATCAGCACTTAGTGGAAGTGTTTCAAACTCTAATGTTAGTTTTAAAGTCATGGAATTACTGAGAAAACCCTAGTTAACTGAAGGTTTAGAAAACATTCTTTTATCATGAGGTTGAAAGTTTCTGCTCATAATCCCCCGTTGATGGATCTTAAGGAAGGAACGTAATTTGTGTATTCTAGCCAAAAACAACGCTGACTGGGTAATGTATTCTGCTCATAAGTAACCGTTTTCACATAAGAAAAATGACCTAAGTCGATGGAATTGCATACATTTTATGTTTGGTATCCGATTGCCTGGAATCACACAGATATAGATTGGCATGTTCAACACTTTTTGGATATACAGTAGTTAAGTCTTGTAGCTTAGTTAGCATAGCACTGAATAATAGACGATAGGCTTATTTTCTGAATAAAATACAACTCAGTTTTGTATAGAATACTCTTTTAGATAATGGAACTGGTGATTTGTATCACAAAGTATCTCTTGAATTTTCAATATTTTGCAGGTAAATCCACAAACCAGTGAAGCTGTATTCGAAGATATGGAAAAAAATAAACTTGTACACGTTAAGGTATGACGATGTCACTTGTATTTCACTTCACATAACCTGTTTATTTATTATGATTGATTTAACTGCAGATCATGATAACAAATATTTGTTTTTGTAATGGATCAAGTTTAAAACAGAACGTAAACAGGTTACTGTATGAATATTTATTGGTTATATACAGGTTGGGATTTTCTGAGTCAATTTAATTTGCTACGGTGAATACCAGTGTAAAAAGAAAATCAACGGAATGAGGAGGAACATGAATGAACCAATGGTGGTGGTGAACAAGAGCAGTGAAATGTCACGGGTCAAGAGGAAAATAATTCATCTGCTTGGTTTTTAATAGTTTGGAAAGTCTTACCGAAGGGTTTATATTTTCTGATTCAAACTACATAAATATTCAGTGACTTCAGTGGTTGATTCCAGTTTTTAGGCTGACCAACCTTAACTTTCCAACGAGATTCCACTCTTCGGATCAACGTCTTACATTACATTCTCGAATGTCCGTAATGTGTTCACGCTGTTCTTGGTTGACTTCCATGTTTTGAAACTGATCTGATCTGATCATTGAATTTTTCGGAGGAATGTATTATAGTGTACTTGGATACTCTCTCACTTTCACGGTAGTGCAGAATAAACCGATGCGAAATACAGCCATCCTTTAGTAAAATTTCGTATATCTACTTGGTGGCATAAAGGTAAAAGTTGCTGATGTATTCTAATCACCGCCTAAGTGTTTACTGCTTCAACACACTCTTATTGATGTCATCTGATAAATTAGAGTTCCGAAACTTTCCAGTGGTGTTTTTTATATGCTGTCCAAATTTAAAAATTCCAGTATGTTTGATTTGGAACATATTCGGCGTTTAGATGAACACCTTGAAAGTGATAACAGTATTTTATCGAACCGACATGAATGGGTCAGCAGTTGATGACTGATCATGTTGTTAAGTCCTTAGTGCTGATCGAGATATGTTGATTAGGTTTGCGAAGTGACACCATACTATTTTATTTACCTTGTTTGTCATTAGATGTGTGCAGTCAGTTGACAGGAAACCATACTTTTGTGCTTGTTGATACTCATTAGAAAGGAGTGCTTCAAACTCGTGAAATTTGTATTACCTCATAGATGCTAACTTGCATCGGTCAACGTCGGAGTCACGTTCTTTACCCCACTGTCTCCTGTGGAATTCGGTTGCGTGTGCGTGCACAAGTCGATTATTGGACACATTAGTTGTCGAATTGTAAGTGGTGTTTGATTAAAAACATTGGGAATATAATTTTGGTAACTGATATGGTTCGATTCCTCTCCGACAAGCCTGTCTGTAAGCGGTCAAATTTTATATGATCAGTTTTGGATAAAATTATTTTTCAGTTCGTCATAATAGATCTGTGATCATAAAGAATGAGGAGTGCATACCGTTCAGTAAACATGTGTATGATTGTGTGTTGGGTTGTTAACCGCGTTTGGTGCGTAGGAGCTGAGTTAGCTACCATGTTGGATACACCAGAATATGTTGTAAGGGATCTCTGAAACCCTTTAGCTGTATTCCAAGTCTCATAACGTTCAGCCTGTAGTAATTTTGCTGATAGTATTGTATGGAGAACTTGCCTGTGATTCAAATGTGACTGGATATGTTTTTTATATTTATCTTTGTTGGACAGAATGCTATAAGTTCCATCGGTTGAGTAAAGTACTGAAGGGGGCCGATAAATGGTCCATAATTTTTGGTTCAAGAGGAGTGACTATTATCACTTACTAGTTTCATTCATAACACTTATTCTTCATACATTTTGTTCCCTCGAAGAACTTGAACAAAGACACTAGCAGAATAAAATGAGCTCATTTTATTTCACCAACTTTCATCAGCTGCAGACAGCTAATAGCTGAAATGAAATATGAATAGTAATAATGACATAACATACTTAAACTATGTGTAATTAAGTGAAAATTTGATATCCATGATTAACAATATAGTGATGAGTGAAGGGAGCATAGGATTGATAGTCACAAAACTTAGTTAAAATCAATGGTAATTCATATCTGATGAGATACTAAGTTTCTTTAGCTGCGAAGAGGGCGGGCGGTGGGGGGTTTGGACGACAAACAAATACGAGTGCAAAATGAGGGATTGTTTCAGAGCTAGTAGTCGTCTATGTAATTACATGAAGAAACTGGAAAAACGTTAGGGTAAATGACTAACAGTCACTAAGTAGTTAATGAAGAGAGGATACAACAAGAAGTGGAAAAGTGTATACATACATGTGCAGTATATTGATATTATATACAGTTTCCAGAGTAAAGAAAGGTTAGTTACAATCTCTTCCAGAGTACATAGGTCAGGTTGAAGATGTTTGATGGTGAGAGCTTATGCAAAGCATAATAAATATGGCATTCTTTGTTTGTTGATTATCCTGGCAGATTAAGAAACATCTGCTTGATGTACTGTTTCGATCAGCTACAGAATTTTCTATCATCAGATATGAGTTGGTATTAATTTTGACCAAGGTTTGTAATCATTTAATAATCCTGTGTATGCTTCATTCATCACCATATTGTTAATCATGGATACCAAATTTTCACTTGATTCTACATTTTTTAAGTATGTTATGTCATTATTACTAGTAGTGTTTCATTTCGATTGTCAAATGTTTTCCGTTGATGAAAGTCGGTGAAATAAAATGAGCTCATTTTAGTTTACAAATTTCTTGCAAATGTTCTTGCATTGTTCCATCTTATTTTTTAAGCAACAAATAGTGAGTGTTATTGTATACTGAAATATAGACATATTGAACGCACATAAACCAAACGCTTACTCGCTTTGTGAGCAGTCATGAAAGTATGACCAATTTTTAAAGAGTTTGTGTATTTTTATCATACTGCAGATGACAGTGTTAATCTGCTCTTCATACTGAATGTAGCTCAACAATCAAATACAGTTTTGTGTACTAGACAATGAGCCGTATCCGTTGTGTTGGTGCTAATGATAATCTAGACTTTGTTATGTGGACCTGGGTTAGGTAGGATCAACGTTGAAGTGATTGGAAGACAATTGCCTGAACCAGTGGACTATATTTCCAAGACTTCATACTATTATCTATATCATCTGTAACAATATACATTTGTTACATGTTAACGTGAATGAGCTAACCCCTTCTATTGCATTTTGCCTTCCAGTATGACCTGTTACATATCACGCCTCCAATGAGTTGTCCTGAGGTCCTTGTGAAAACACCAAATTTAACCGATCCGAATGCAAGTGATTATGTGAATGTGGATATTAAAACACTGAGACATAAACACTATGATAATATATTTGCAATTGGTGACTGTGCAGCTTTGCCGACATCGAAAACAGCTGCAGCTGTAGGTAAGTTAATTACAGTTTGTGTACTGTGATGACTAAATATTCTGAATTTAGTACAATATTGAGGCCAGTTGTCGTAAATATTAACATTTCAGTTGATTGTTTGTGGATGATACCATAGTTAATCAGCAGAAGACTTATTATTCCAGCCGTGGGCGCTAAGTTAAAATTTTGGTCGGCCAAAATTATCGTAATTATTCAGTCGAACTATATTCATTGAAAGGTTTTTGCAATTTTACGGATGTTAACAAACGTTTACAGAGAATTTTGCAGTACAAAAGCCTATTGGGGTCTCAGTTCCGAAGAGAAATTGGAACTGCAAGTTGCATCATATTTTAACAACAATATGCTATTTGTCACGAATAACTGAAATTTCTGGTAGTACTGCTTTTTTATTACCAAAAGGAGTTTCTACAGAATGTCAGTTATAGACACTTTAATTTTTTCTCAGAATTGCGTTGTTTTTTTGTCGTGACTTCTTTTGTGTAACGCATGGTGTGTTATTTCTTGTGGATTGACGTGATCGATGACTACCAGTTTGGTCTGTTTTTAAGTACGGCATGAAGAAAAAAGCATTCTAATTCCTTAGGTAGGCAAGAAGTACAAGTGGTTCATGTGCACCCAAATTAACTCGTCTTCTTTCCCACTCATCATTCCAGTAAGTGTTAACTTGTATGGACTAATTTACGTACATCGCTTGTATATAGTTGTGTTTGTGTTACCAAATATCTTAAGCCCAATCGGCCTAATTTTCTTTAGAAATTGACTAGTGAGAACAAAATATTGGTTTACGTTTAACCTCAGGTGGAGTGTCTATTAAGCTGCTGTAAAGGCGGTTGGCACGCCTAGCTTTGTGTACTTAGGCGGCGGCAACATTATTCCAACAAATAGCCTCCGAGTTGCAGCCGGGCACGGTGTTGTTCGATCTATCTGTTGACACAGTAGTCACTTCACTTTTGCTATTTCATGTTTTGCTTCACTTATTATGCTAGAGATGAGTTGGATATTTTTCATCCCACTAGGTGTGTAGCGACCTCTTTGTGTCTCATTTCCAGTCTGACTGAGTTATAATAAAAATCGGATTTATTACTTAGTCATCTCTTTATGTGATGTTTTAAATTCTTGGAAATTGAATGAATGGAATGTTGTTCTTATCATTCAGTTGATAATATCAATAAGTGTGACTGTATCACCACGTGTAGGCCTATGCGCTCAGCAGTGGGCTAGTTACGTTGTCTAGGCGTTATCGATACTACCTGATTGCCTAGAACTGAATGAAAGCAGTCGGATTGTAGTACACATATGACATTTCCATGATAGTTTAGCAGGTTAGCAAATTAATGTTTTGAGAATGGTGTAGACTGAAAATGCCATACGGTACCTATAAAATGTAAATTGTTTCTTCTAGTCTGGTTTTCTTGCATGTTTGTTGGACAGTAGATAGTTAAGTGTTTTAAAGTTTTAAACGCTTCACCTCCCTTCATAATTTGGACATAATCTTGATATAGATGTGGATGTATAGTTTAAACTTCGCGAAAATACACCAGTTGTAGTTGAGGGACACTATGTTCATATATTAAATTTCAGCATCATTCGAGTATTAAGCAGTTGTACAACAGAGTCAAACTTGAGGAAAAGGATTTTTTTAGCAAGATTAACGATAGAAATCACAAACGAGAACAAAGTAATTGAGATGAAGTAATTATATCCCTAACATTTTGGAAAATGAGTAGGGGAAATATCCAAGCAATTTTAACAAATTGTTAACAATGATATTTAAGGCATTCAATTTTCCTTCCCTGACTTTGAGAAACTTGGTTAGAAATCCCATATCTCAAACTAGTAGTTTGTGGCTGCATGGACTAGTTCCATTTCTTTGTGTGAACTTCTTGTATTCGTCCCTAACTGATCCCACTCGATCAAATATTGTACATCAGAGTAAATGTTGGTCCTTCATAGCCTACCACCGTAGGCTATAACTATGTGGGTGACTACAAAATAGTTCACATATTGGCTCTGAAACGTGCAAGAAGTGTTTCAGAGAAAAACATAGTTTACGGTCCGTAACCTTTTCATGTTCTCTACATTCATATCTCATGGTTACAGACCAGAACAAACTGGATCGCTAAACAATAAGTTCGTCGTTTATTCAACTGTTTTGTCAGTTTTATTGATAGTGTGTGTTGGTGAATGCAAATGAAACTCTTCTTATATACGGAGATTTCGTTAACAGCCAGCAGAATCTGGTGATATAACTGTACAAATAAGTGAAGTGATAAACTTACTAAACCACTTCGTTCCCTATCTTTGATATAAGTATCTTTACAGGCCACTTTCGTTGGATCGTTTTATATATTACAGTCATGATTGCATACCAAACACGAAGCCTTTGTTCGGATTGTTCTCAAGGGGCATATCTCTTACTCGAAACACATGCGTTGACTGATGAGGAGAGTTATCGATTTCATCATTCTCTAGTTGGGGTGTGTAACATGGTTTGAAGATATTAGTAGCAGTGTTCCGCTGATTGAAAACGTTAACAATGGTTATAGAGTAAGAAGAATTTAAAACCATTGTGAGGTTTGATGCATCTAAGATAAAAAAAGTTATAAAGTAACAAAAGTCGAAAATTTTTACCATCTGGAGATGTGGCTCACTGGCCTAAGGAATTGACTTTTAAATATTGTCTCTCATGTTTGAATTCTGCTCCACTTTGTGGAATACACCATTACTGAACTACTTGAGTAGTTAAAAACCACTAAGGTCCATCCTTTTATTTTGCCACCTTGATCAGAATGATCCAAATAGCGGACCCGGGCAAATTTAATTCAATGAGCCGACTTAGTTCAAACAACATGATATGGCCGGTTAAATCTACAGATCAGTTTGAGTGGTTTCTTACTGCTCAAACTGTTCAGTAGAAGTAGTACATTTTGCTAGTTCATGACACCTTTGTATCAGAGATCACACATTGTGATCTTGGCAAGGTGGCTTTCAAGGGAAACTATGGTGACACTAAAGCTGGTCAGTTGGAAAACTCTTCAGCTATGAGAAATGAGAACATGCAGCGTGCAATTTGTAAGTCATTTGCATATTGACCATCCTCCTCTTTTCTCGGTTACTTACATCGCGGAAGTTGACTTTTTATAAGGTGTGTGAAACAGAATAATGTATTAGTATTGTTTAACCAGTTTGACATATGACGTTCCTCATAGTTTAAAATATTGTAGATTTGCCTTTTTCATAAATATTACCTTGTACCTAAAGCGGAAGGCTGTTTTTCAAAATGGACTTCAAAATCTTTCTTAAAATGCGAAGGAGGCATAATCATTTGAGTGAAACATTTTATCACTATAGGACCAATGGTATCCAACCAACAGTAATTCATTAGACCAAAGTACGATAGAGTACACCCTTTAACTTTCGCAGCGCTTCCACAGATATTCTTGAAGTGGAACCTGATCTCCATTTGGTACAGACTAATCTACTCACTATTTGAACTTAAGTACTTTTGGTCGATTTTAAACCTCGAAGTTGAATATTTGGTTGAGTTTCAGAATTAGTAAAACCACTTATTCGATGACCAAATCGTCAACTGAATCTGTTTAATGGGTTTCCAGGCTCATAACTATTAAAGTCAGTCTCCGAATATTCAATCTTATCATGAAGAATATGAAAATGCAAACAAACAAACGAACATATTTTCATTTCCTTCTTGTCATTCTCTTTCAGCTGGTCAAGTGGGTGTGTTGGAAAAGAATCTGTGTGATGTTATGAAGGGTGGTAAAGGTAATGTTGCTGAAGTAAGTATATATTTAGAAATAATTTCAAGCACATATCATGATAATTCTTTCGTCCATTCGAATTTTGGTGTTGATCCAGATGTTTTAAGCGTGGGAAATCATTGTGGTACTGCTTAATTATGAGTTTAAGTATAGGTATGGGTTATACTCAGGTGCTTCACCACTTTAAAGAAGAATCTATTCAATTCACTTCCTAAGTAATCGATTATTTCTTATATATTTATCAGTGTGCTCTAACTACAATATCTACGATGTGCTTACTTTATGCTCTGAGTTATTTATACACTGTATGTAGATGTATGTAGGAACTGTAGGAATAGGTTTGTTTGGATTTCTTTACTGTAATTTTCGGATGCGAAAAAGACGAAACGTATCAGTCGGTAAAATATTTGGCGTTGATAAAAGGAAGTGGGTTAGGTTAGATTTATCTTTAAATGCCAGTAAACTACAGACTGATGGGTTGATACATCTTGACTACCCACACTGTGGAGAGTGAATTTTCTGTTTAGTGTATTTACCACAGGAAGTGGATTAGTGAGGATTATCCTATTGACTTGATTGTGTTACCATGAAATTCGAATGACATCTGTTTAATGTTGGTTAAACATGGTATTTTTAGATGCTTTTGAATTTCAGTTAATTGCCTATTACATCTATAGTTCTCAAGAAACCCTTTTCACGGTAATCAGAAGATAGGTGATGAAGGCAGATAAGGGTATGCCAATTTCAGGCGTTATCTTCTTTGCTCCTTCTTTCAATAAAATGGAGACATTATCAATTTGTAATGTAGATTATCCTCGAGAAGTGCCTTGTTACTACATGTTCAGCTGGTAGTTTCTTTACTTTATTTTAACAGTATAGAGGACTGTTTTGTTTCGAATATTGTTCGTGAATTTCTTTGTTTTTGCAGATGGTTGAGATTCTGAGCGGTGTTTATTTACAGAATCTATTGTATCCTTTTCGAGTAATACTTAGATAGTTTGTGTTCAGCAGTAGTTAACGGTTGATTGAACGAAGTGCATTCGTTATTGCTTGATGTGAGCTGTGGCAACTCGGACCGTTATGCAGTGATGCCTGGTCCTATGTTGATATTGATGATGATGATTTCTTCTTACTTATAATCGATCATTCGGATTTATCTGTGTCTTGACACTACTACTTAGGTTGGAAACTCAGCGACCAAGTTGATAACAGCCAAGTGTTTGAAATGATAGATAGTGAGTTCAAGTTCTGGTGTAGACCCGACCGAGAGCTGCTAATTTGATGTGGTCGTCAAACGTGTATATCCCAATATCCCAGTGGGCGATAATGGTAGAGCTTTAGTTTCTTTGAGGTCCTACCATACGAGTAAGGTATGTTTGGTAGTGGTAAGAGAAGAACGGGTCCCCGTTATGTGATGCAAGTAGTCACGCTATGATGGTGGTAGAAGTGCGAAGTTGTACTACTGACTGGATGGTTCCGTGACAGCATTACTGTTTCCTGTGTATGACCAGCAGTAGTATGCTGATGCTGTTTACTCCATGGTAAGTAGGGGTGAGGAAAGGTCGAGTACAGAAATGGCGGTCTTCGGTGCCGGCCATATGGGTTGAGTAATAATAAAATGGCTGTGATATGCTTGTTTGGCTTTCTCCACTGTAAGCAGTTTATGATGTATACATTATATCTGGTTATCTACGAAGTCTTGAGTGTACTTTGCTACAGTTTGCTGTGTTCTACTATATGACCGTTAAAGTGAAAGAGTTCAAGTCTATTTCATCCTAATTGTCATGTTACATTTTTTTGTTTTGCTTACACGACTGTCTTCTACTTTTGATTACTTCCTTTCTCATTTATCAATGTTTCACCTTGAGGCCTTGAAAATGTGTTACGCATTCCTAGTGGCCGTTCACCGGATTGCACAATGTTAACCGAAATAGGTTTAGGCTGGGAAAGATTTAGAGGCTGTCGGATTAAGAGCTGGTGTCAGTCGATGAAGTGTCTGACTGTTGGTCTAAGCCTTGTGGTGAACTGTGGACTTCCGTGTCGGGGCTCAGGTGACCAGGGAAACCAGTGGTTAGAAACTCAGATGGCTCAGATGTATTCGCATGTCATCCTCATCTTAATCGTTACACTGGATTTTATTATTGTCTCATTTCTCCTTGCATTCTTTCGGTAATTTTCTGCCAGCTTTTAGTGCTTTCTTTCCTACTTGTTTACTGGTCATCTTGGCGGGTTCTCGCTTGATGTATTGACATGAGGTGTGGCAACTTGGACCACTACGCAATAGTGTCAGGTCCTATGTTGCTTTATGTCTGTCTATCTCAACAGGGTAGCTCAACAGAGTAGGTTGAAGAGATTTATTGTATGAAATGCAGAATGTGAGTGCCATTGACAGTGGCTCGCAATGGCGATCAAGTAGTGATGAGATTGATGTCAAAGCGTCGTTGCAAGAAATCCTCATTCAAAGAAAGTTTGATTTCCGTCAATCCAACAGTGAAAAATTCAAAGTTTCAGTAACAAGGTTGATCAGCCTACGGTGTTGTGTTCCAGTTTGTTAATTCATATAGTGAATAGTGTAGACAAAATGGTCACTATTTTCTTATATTTCATCTTGGTGTTTACCTACCAACCGGTTATATTCAGCCATTGGATCTCATAACAGTTGAGTTTACTTTATTCAGAGTAAACGTTGTAGATGGTTTTGCTTCTGTTGGTTATCTGAGTGAGTAGAATTTATTTAGATTCCAATAGCTGAAGTCACTTAACTTTTGTGCAGTGAATTTTTCCGAGTACAGTATTGTTGAATCTAATTGTGAAGGTGCTAAATTATTTTTCGCTTTAATACATATTGAAGAAACAGAAGACAACTCGACGAGAGAATGTTTATTACGAATAATTGGAATGGTAGTGGTTACATATGGTACTGCTTGCACTAACGCAGCCATTTGCAAATGGCTTCGTTTCCTCTCCGTTCCTGTCTTGATTTGCTCTTGACCGGCTCTTCATACACTCTTATCAGCAGCATCCCCTGTAATACGCCTGTGTTGTCCCCTGCGTTGCTCTTAGTAGAAACCTTACCCATTGCCGGTAATTCCCTATGATTCCTGCCACCCTCTCGATATATACTACTTAAATCCGTTGTTATCAGCAACGCCCACTACACTCGTCTCCCCCTCAAAATTCCGGGCTTGCAACCGTGTTGATCGTCTTGGTGCTGTCTCTTGGTTTTCACTCGCTGTTTCGTCTTTTTTCCACTGCTTCCATTTTTGAAGTAGGCTGGCGTTTACTCTTTTCTCTTTGTCCCTTTGTTTGATGGTATAAATTGAACCGCGTCTCTCGGTAATGATGTATGGTCCTTCCCACTTCGGAAGTAGTTTCCTTCTGCCATACTCACCTCCTGACGTATATCCTCGTTCTTTACATTTCACCTGATCTCCAACCTCAAATGGTTTCCATTTACTTCCTTCTCTCTGCTCAGATTTTTCAGCATCAGCCTTCTGCTTTCGTTCCACATTCCTGATAGCCTGTTTCCGCTCCTCTCTCAATCTTGTCATGTTCCAAGGCTGTTGTTGGGGCCAGGTCTTACTATGTATCGGGAGCCGTGGTTTCCTGCCATACATTAACTGGAACGCCGACTTCTTGGTTGTTCCTTGTACCGAGGCACGATGAGCTAATAATACTAACGGCAGTTCCGTCTCCCAATTTCCTCCTTTCGAAGCTAGCCACTCCTTCAGTGTACGGTTATTCCGTTCTGTCAAACCGTTAGTCGGGGGTTGGTACGGCGTCGTTCTTATCCTCTTGATATCAAGCTGCTCCAAACAGGATTTAAATTCTTCACTCTCAAAACAAGGACCTTGGTCGGTCAGTATCATCTTCGGCACACCGTGATCCGCGATAATATGCCGCATCACCGCTGCGGTCACTGTCTTCGCGCGTTGATCAGGAATCGCGACAGCGTCTACCCATCGTGTAGCATGCTCCGTCATCACCAACAGGTATTGGTTGCCACTAGGTGTCTGCGGAAATGGTCCCATTACGTCCACCGACCACAGGTCACCAACCGCTGCTACTGGAATCGACTGCAGTGGCGGCCGTACATACCGATCACCTTTCATCAGTTGACAATGAGGACACCCCAGCACGTATTTGGCAACATCCTCTCTCATACCTGGCCAGTATGCACTTTGTCTGAGAAGGTCAGCTGTCCGTGAGACACCTGTATGAGCTAACTGGTGGCATTCTTGTATCATTTTGTCGCGTAGACATTTCGGAATCACTGCCAACCAGCTTCCGTCATTTTCTCGCCACGTTAGCATTCCATAAGTATTCATCCGTAGGCGTTCTTTCTGCGTCAACAACGTTCTCAACTCTTTATCTCCCACAGACGTTTGTGTCTCTGTCCCTTCAGTTATGGCTTTGATCACTTCTTTCAGTGTCGGGTCCGACTTCTGAAGGCGAATAAGTCTTAACGGGTTCCATTCCACTGCATGTACGCCGTATGCGATCTCAGGTAGCTCATTTTCTTCGTCAGATCTTGATAAGAAGTCTGCCAACCAGTTTTCTTTCCCTGCCACATGGCCGATGGTGAAGTCATATTCTTGCAGTCGTAACACCCAACGTGATAATTTTCCTCTGGGGTCTCTCGCTGTCTTAAGCCACTGTAGAGGTTTATGATCCGTTTCAATATGGAATCGTTGACCGAGGAGGTACGATCTCCACTTCTCCAGCGCCCAAACTATCGCTAGACATTCCTTTTCCATTGTAGAATATTTCTGTTCTGCGGGTGTTAGAACGCGGCTGGCATACTCCACTACTCCTTCAGTCTGTCTCAGGACTGCCCCTATTCCATAATCACTTGCATCGGTGGACACGATAAATGGCCTACCAGGTATTGGTAGTTTTAACGTCATCTCCTGGTCATTTAGGAGTTCTTTGATGTGATCAAATGTTTTTTGTGCCTCCTCCGTCCACACAAATTTGGGGTTGCCCAGTAGCTTATATAACGGTGCTGCTATCTCATTGAAATTTTTGAGGAACCGACTGTAGAATGCTGCTCTACCCAAGAATTGTCGCAGTTTCCTCTTGGAATTCGGCACTGGAATAGTTCTGACTGTCAGAATTTTCTCGGGTAGTGGTTTTATTTCGCCGTTTCCAACTTTGTGTCCCAGCAACGTAACACTCCTCTTGGCTACTTGAGATTTTGTCTTATTGATGCGGAGTCCAAACTCATCGATACGTCTCAAAACAGCTTCAAGGTATTCTATGTGTTCTGCCTCCGTCTGGCTGTACACCACCAGGTCATCGCCGTACACCTCTACGTTCTCTAAATTCTTCAGCAACAACATCATCAATCGTCTAAATGTAAAGGGCGCCCCTGCCAGACCAAATGGCATTCGCTTGAATTGGTATTGCTTCTTGCCCACAATAAATGCTGTTTTCTCTTTATCACTGTCTTTTATTGGTAGCTGCCAGTAGCCCGAGCGGAGGTCCAGAACTGTAAATACTTTCGCATTCTGCAAACGATCCAGTGTCTCCGCTATCGTCGGCATGGCACATGGCTTCAGCTGCGTTATGCTATTTAACTCCCGGAAGTCCACGCAGAATCTATATTTCCCATTTGACTTTCTTACTAAAAGTACTGGAGAACTGTATGGACTGTCAGCCTCTTCAATAATACCTTCATCTAGCATTTCCTGAACCTGGCGCCCAACTTCTTGTTCCAAGTGACATGGTATTCGCCGTGTGATGAATGTTGTCGTTACCTGACTGGTCACTGGGATTTCATGCTGAACCTTGTCACAATAACCATAGGGGTCTCCATCTCCTGTGAACAATCTGTCGTATTTCTTAACCACCTTCATGATGTTTGGCGTTTCTGGGTACGGTGCTTTTGGTACTTCAATCTCTGCTACCTCGCTGTTTTCCTGAGTGTTGAACGACCCGTACTTCGTTGCCACTATTCCTGTTCTCGTGTTAATCACTGCACCCACTTCTCTCAGAAAATCGGCACCTAGGATTGGGCGTTGTAGGCGCGCGGTCACAATAAATGGGAATCTAATTTTCTGGCTCCCGATCTCAACAACGCAATCTGACAAGCCCGCAATATCCAGTGCATGTCCCCAACCGTATGGACCGTTAGCGCACATGGTCTTGTGTTGTGAGACTGCCTCTTATCTATTAGAGAGACTGCCGCCCCTGTATCTATGAGACACACGATATCCCGACCATTTATTCGCAATCTAGCGTACACCGCGCCTCGATCTATGGCTCCTACGATATCTAGTCTAGTCGGAAAAACAGAACTCATATTATATCGTTCAAAACGTTTTCTTTTCCGCCTCTCCGGACAATTCCTTCGCCAGTGTCCCGGTTTCCCGCATGCGAAGCATTTACTCTGTTTGTTGACGCTCATTCGCAGTGCTGCTATCTCTTTCTGAAGGTTGTTGATTTGTTCTTGCCAGTTATTTACCTCTGGTGACTCCACTGCCGCTACTCCTGTACCCATTAGCTGTCTGGTCACCTTGGCCATTTCGCTAATGTCCATGGGCTGGGCTGCATTGACTAGTCGTAACTGGTGGGCAATGGCATTCGGGACACTCTCAGTGAACTGTGCGGTCAGCAACTGTTGTTGGGCATCCTCATCCAACGTGGGAAGCGCTCGTCGAAGTAGTTTGGTCAACTTCACAGCCAACACCAGCGGATCTTCATCTATTCCTAGCTTCGCGCTGCGGAACTGCTGCATCGCCTGCTCCCTGTCCGCCGATCTGTCGAACTCCGCCTCCAGGCGCTGAACCATTTTCCGCCAAGTCTCCGTCCCGTCACCACGTTCCACTCCGTCATATACTGCTTTCGCTCTGCCCCGCAGCAACGTCCCCAGCACCACGACCTTCCCCTCCGGATCCCGAACCCCCACCAGCTCCGCTACCGCCTCGAAGTCCTTGAGGAAGACCTTGATGTCTCCATCCTCGGACTCTGCAGGCCATGGGGTCTCCATCACGTCCAAAGGCAGGCACACAGATTGAAGAAACAAAAGACAACTCGACGAGAGAATGTTTATTACGAATAATTGGAATGGTAGTGGTTACAAATGGTACTGCTTGCACTAACGCAGCCATTTGCAAATGGCTTCGTTTCCTCTCCGTTCCTGTCTTGATTTGCTCTTGACCGGCTCTTCATACACTCTTATCAGCAGCATCCCCTGTAATACGCCTGTGTTGTCCCCTGCGTTGCTCTTAGTAGAAATCTTACCCATTGCCGGTAATTCCCTATGATTCCTACCACCCTCTCGATATATACCACTTAAATCCGTTGTCATCAGCGACGCCTACTACAATACTTGATCTGGCTAACAATAAAATTTACAGATCAGGCTGAATGGATATTCGCTGACTAATCATGCTGTTCACTAGCATATTTCATCTGGAATTTATTGATTCCTATCGATGCAAATTCATTTATTCGCTCATTCATTCATTTTCTTTTTGTTTAGTATGATGGGTATACTGCTTGCCCATTAGTTACGGGATATAATCGAGGTATAATAGCTGAGTTTGATTATTCACTCCAACCACTGGAGACGCTTCCCATTGATCAAAGTAGAGAACGTTATTTGTTTTATTTTGTGAAGACCTTTGTCTTTCCACCTCTCTATTGGGATTGGTTCACGAAGTGAGTTTATGTTGTGTTCTACTGCTAATTTGGTCATTTGATATTTTCATTAGATTTCATTTCCGTTTTCCTCACTCATCGGCTAAATGTGTCTGCATAATAATAGTATTGAAGTGCTAGAAATCTGCGAAAGCAGGTGAAATGGAAGTGGACTCTTCAAACTGTCAACCGGAGAGTCAATAATCCACTACGGTCACCTAGACGACTACCATGAGCACACTGCCGATTGCCTCAGACCAACTAACATTCACTAAGGTGCACCGCGATGCTGAGCTTCCTAGCCTGGTTGCCACATTGCAAATATGATCGATAGAATTCGGTCTGCACTCTGGACTAGACAACATGAAATTGGTTGCACTCGCGTGAATAATCAGTACATGAAAGCCAGTCCTACAGGAGGTCAATCGTCGCCCCAATACCTCAGTAGAAAAGTCGCTGACTACAACATTCGCTGACGCGTGTTCGAATCCCAAGGACATCAGTTCCATCGAGGTTGCAGATACGCCTTGCAGACAAGTGCTTCTTGCCGATTTCCTCCAACCAACTAGCACACTGAGGCAGTCGCTATCATGATGTCCCCAAGAGCATCGAAGGCTCTCATGCAGTGGGAACCAATCTCCTCCATCAGGAGCATCACAGCAGAACTCAACTCAAAAGGAAGGAAGGAAGGTCACAATCATACAATGTTATGCACCTACAAATAATGCAGAGCAAGAGAAAAAGGAGGAATCCCACAGACAACTGTAATCAACACTGGACAAGACGTCAGTTGGTGATATCAAAATTCTAATTGGTGGGGTGACATGAATGCCAAACTGGGAGGGGACAACACAGGAAGAGAACTAACCATGGGCCGAGAAGCGCTCGGTGAGGTGATGAACGAGAATGGAGAATTGTTTGCAGAATTCTGTGCATTCAACGATTTGGTGATTGGAGGTGAGGCAGTGTGTTCAAGCACAAGGATATCCACAAAGCGGGCGACATGGATTTCACCAGACACCAGGACACACTAAAAATCAGATCGACTTCATCTCGATGTGAAGAAAGTGGAGACTCAGTCAGTCTACTTGACACAAGATCAAGAAGAGGAGCAGATGTAGGTTCAGACCACTTACTGTCTAGTGCAAGGAACCCTCCAAATCAAGTTGAAAGCCTTCAAGGAAGCTGGTGATAGACCTCAATTCAAGTACAACACTCGGATACTGAAGGACGAAACTACACAGGAAATCTTCACGGCAGCCACCAAGACAAACTTGGCGACATTGAGCAACACCCTGGAAGGATCACGCGTGAAAGAACACTGGAACTCTTTGGAAGCTATGTGGAAAGAAACCTGCACAAGCGTATTAGGAATGAAGAAGAAAGAAGATAAGGAATGGATCTCGATGGATACATGAAAGGTGATAGAACAGGGAGAGGAGGATGGTGAAGCAGAAGATAAACCAGTGCAAGGATGCACAACGACAAGAGGAACTGAGTACGATGTATAAAACACTGGACAAAGAAGTGAAGAAGAGTGTCCGGAAAGACAAAAGACACTTCTACGAAACACTGACAAGTGATGCAGAACAGGCTGTAGGTAGGAGAGACAGAGACCTGACAACATTATATCAAATAACTAGGTTACTATCTGGAAGAGATCAACGCAGATGAAACCAATAAAAGATGATGAAGGAAATTCGATTACCAAAGAAGAGAAACAAAGGAAACGATGGGTGGACCACTTCAATAAGCTGTTGAATTGACCACCACCTGCACTTCGTCCGGAAATATCACCTGGTGAACACAAGTTCTCCGACCAAAGTCGACTGAGAAGTAATTTGGAAACTGCTCGAACACTATGGAATGCCACAAACCTTCATCAACCTCATTCAACAACTATATGAAGACGCCATATGCCAAGTCATTCAAAATGGGAAGCTCAGTGATGCTTTCGAAGTGAAGACAGGAGTGAAACAAGACTGTCTACTATCACCGATCATCTTCCTGATCGTGGTGGACTGGATCATGCAACAAACTGAGGAGCGAGAAGAGGGGGATATGCTGTTTGAGACGACTGATGAAAAGAGTCTAGATGATTTGGATTTCACCGATGACTTGTGTCTAATGTCACACAAACTTGAAGATCTACAGGCAAAAGCTAATAAGTTGACAGAGGAGGCAAGGAAGACGGGACTTCAAGTGAACGTAGAGAAGACAGAGGTGATGGTGATACCCAACCAACGACAACAAGCTCCAATCACCATCAACGGGAGAAACTTAAAGGAAGTAGCCTCTTTCACCTATCTAGGCAGCACCGTTTCAACTACAGGCGGCACAGACGAGGACGTCAAAGCCAGCCAGGATCGGAAAAGCAAAATAGGTGTTCATTAACCTGAAACCAGTATGGAGATCTGCACTCAGTATGTGGAACAAGATCCGGACTTTCAACACCAACGTCAAGTCAGTGCCTCTGTATGGCTCAGAGACTTGGCGCGTTACGAAAGAGATTTCCAACAAACTGCAGATATTCATCAACAACTGCCTACACTGGCTCGTTACTGAAGCTCAGATGGCCAGAAAGAATAAGCCACAAGGAACTCTGACAACGAGCCAACCAAGAACCTATCGCTTAACAAATATGCGGAGGAAGGAAGTGAAGATGGATTGGGCATGCACTGACAAGACCATTCGGGACATCACGCGCCAGGTCAGGCCCTCGGTGGGACCCAGATGGGAAACGATAAGTTGGGCACTCGAGGTGAGGGTAACATGGAGGAGATCGTGTAAGAAAGAAATGATGTCCTATGTTCCACTAGGAACCCAAGGGACGAATAAAAATAATTATAACCAATCTGATTCAAGTTGTCCATTTTTCTATGAAGGGATTCTTAAAAGTACGTGTGTTGCTCATTGACCTAGACATGGAGTTATTTACCACTTGGTCGCGGGTCCGAACTCTAGTCCTCTTACTTGTCTTTTAATGGCCGGGAAGTAGCATTACCCTTCACATATATGTATTAGATGTGGTTCTCACTGGAAATGCATAAAACCAAATGAAGTTTCCAGTACACGATTTGAATGGTATCGGTGATTTCACATGAATGAGTATCATCCTGCGGATAATAGTGTTTTCATGTGCATTCATTAATGTTGATGAACAAGACTACACCTTTTTGTGCGAGAACTTTAGTTTGGTGGTGTAGGGGGATGGACAGTGGGATTTGATATTGCTGTTTTCGCATTGCAACCAGATCCTCTAATTTTGTGCTGAATACCTAAGAAAACAGTTTTGTGTAGTAGGATTTGTAAACAAGTGTGTACAAGGTGGTATTAGTACTCTGAATTCAGTTTCACTTTGCTCGCGATCACATTGGAGAATATTAAGATGAGTTACAATAATGTAATTAATTAACTCATGTGAAGTGACAAACAGCACACTGGTAATCAGGCATTCTATTAAGTGATACAATCAAATCCATTGTATGGTAAAGGGATAATTCCAGGAGGATTTTGTTCATCCACAATGCTATGACTTATTGCTAATGACAAAAGCATGATTGTCACCAATGTAGCACAGGCTTATGTATACTCAATGTGTGTAAATGGATATGACATTGATTGGTTGCCTGGGGCGACTTCAGCTTGGGACCTGTTGCTCGAAAGTGGAGTACTTACGATAACTATCTGCATCCGATTAGCTGGGTTAAGTGACTTCCACTGACTCTAACTGCCCTTCATTTATGAAGGTCTTGTAAGTCAGTCAGGTAGTATCACTAACCTTCATACACTGGACGTTGTTCATAGCCTAAAACAATACATTAAGTTATATATGTGACGTGTTTTTACTATTTGACTTCACTAGTGATAGTACTGTTTGGATCTTCAAAACTATCTTCCGTGAGATCGATTGTCGGAGAGATACTTGACTAACTGGTTTTGTTTCAAGTTGTAGGAAAAGTCTCTGAGTATGCAATATAAAAGCAATATACAGAAAGCCTTGAAATTGAGTGTTGTGATCGTCGTTTTATGTATAACTGCAAAGTTATCATTGTATGCACTGCAGTTCGTATTAGTGTAATTCATGACTGTGATTAGGTACATTATCACTTGGGTATTGGTTGTTCAGTCATTAATCTGGTTAACCACATAGATCGTTGGACAACGTGTTATACAGTAGCGACGGTACCCAGAAGGTCAGTCGACTGAGAAGTTGCAATGGTAGTGTTGGTCCACACTGTTTTCGAACTTCTGAGCCAGTAAAAGTTTTTTGAGACTACAGATAGTAGAACTGACTCACCAACCAATTACAGATTCATATTTGGATTTAGATTGTACTGATCTTTAAAGGGAATAAAGATGCTACTACTTTGTTCGACCATAGAAGAGGAAGTTGTGTGTGTGTGTGTGTGTGTGTGAGAGAGAGAGAGAGAGAGAGAGTTCTCATCCTGATGATCTGAAAGATTTTTAATACTTCAATTGAGAAACTACATGTAATTTTGTTTTTTTTGGCTTTACAAACAGCCGCAAAGCATAAACACCAAGACCATTGTTGATAAGATAATCCATTTGTGTTGATGATGATTACAGGACATAACTGCACTGAAAAGCTTGCAGACACAACTCGATAAAATGCATCACAAAAGTTCAGCGCTTCAGTTTATCACATTTCGTAACAACAAAGGAAATGAAAATTGACAGAAATGCAGAGGTAATGAAATCAAGAAGAAGGATATGACAGGGAAAATCAACTCACGATACTAATCGAATCAGAATGCAGTAGGTAACCACGTGCAAATTCACGCAGTAGGCAGTATGCTACAACACCTGTTGTGCGAGGTTGAATGATTCCACGTAGTTGCTGGAACCATGAGAGGTGGAGGGACGTCTGAGTCCATGGCCGTGCACTGATTGCAAACCGATTGTCTAGACCGATGAACCACAGCCTCAGGGATTTGAAAATGATACTAGGTGGATGTTTAGTCAGTATTTAATTGACATTTAGTCGTATTATCGAAGGTTTCCAACGTGTCAACGAGTCGATATCATTTTCGAACTTGGCATTACTGTGTAACGATGAAAGTTGCCTAACGTCACGTGAGCACATGAAAAGGTAGAAGGCAGCAGACACAGAAATATCAACGTAGAACTTCGCACAGAAGTGCATCTTTTCTATTTGCCACATTTTACTGAAGCCTGAGAAGAACAGGCAGGTAGAGAGAAAAGTGATGTCAAGGTACACAAAGGTATACTGGAGGCAAAAATATTTGACAATGAAAGTTAGTGGAAATATTCAAGGTGTAGGAGACGTGAAAGAGTGGATGCATCAGCGCCACTTCGACCGGTTTTCAGCGACGTCACCGAGGTTATCCAACCATTGATTCGTTTTGCTCGGAGTACACCGACAAGACACTCTATACCTTGCTTCATGCACTGATGCTGTTTAAGGGTGACCATCCTTAACACTATCCGTAGTCAATCCTACTGCAGCCAATATTGCAGGTCGAGTTAGACAGTGGTTCGGCATGCGTTAAAATGTCAAGGTCATCTCAGTCGGTGAGAGTTCACAATCGTATCGATGAACTTGGTATTCTTGCCTAACACCCTTCGACTGACCTCCACATTGCTGACACGGAGAAACTACTTTGCGTGAATAAAGGTGTAAAGACAACTGCTGTGGTCAGAAACCTGTTATCTCTTCGTATCTGCCATCAGTCACCAAATCTCAGCCGTATGGTGTGAATAGCGGATTGTAGAGCAGTGACTCGGCATTTAATGGATAATCGGATATCTCGCTGGTGGGAGAGAAGAAGCAGGTTGGCAAGTGGTAAACGACACGTCTGTGTCCGAGTTTAAATTGCCTTACCAACCAACCTATTTGTGCTTATGCAACTTCCCAAGTAAACGGTGGTCAATACACTCCACTACTTCACTTCCTATCCTCAAATTGGGAGTACCAGCTTCAGATCAGTCATGAGGCATCAGTTTGCACTTGATATGTACAGAAATCATGCCAAACATACTGAAATTTCTACTCAAGGTGTTCAGAAGACCCTCTGCTTTGTCACTATATTCACCCAGCAGGACAATATCATCTGTGTAGTCCAAGTCGACCAGGTGTCGTCCAGGGAGTGGGTAAGTCACTGTAAATTCGGAGACACCTGGAGTTCTGTCCATATTAGTACGTCTTAGATGAAGTTAAGTAGGAAAGGTGATAGTGGATACTCTGTTGGATACATCTGGTTGTTATTGATACAGATGGTAACTGACTATAATGCATCACGCGGCCACATGAGTTGGTGCTATCAGCGTTTATCAGCATTACTTGCTTTCTTGAAGCTCCCTTCATATTAAAGGACTACCACGATATCTCTTGTCTGACAGGGTTTTGCGACGAACGTGGTACCACTTAGTGAATGTGTTGAGATGTGATAATCTGTGACATTTGTAAATATCCCATTACGTAGCATGAATTGGAACCCTGATTTGTTGTTTGTGAATCAATTGTTTATTTATTTTTCGACACTTTATGTGTAGGCTTTATTGAGTAAGAGTCATATGTATAGGATGAGGTCGATTAAATTTTAACCGCAGTGTATATTCACTCCGGGAATACGTGGAAATATTTTGCCGATACTCTTTTATCTTGAATTTTTGGAAGATTGTTTACTCGTAACCTGATTCTCTACTCTATGCTAACTTTTCTACAGAGGATACTGGTCTGGTCCGAAATTCATTCGCGATATCCTACATTTGAGAAGCCCTTGGTATTCAAAGCCACAGGAATGATTCTACCGAAATCCAAGTATTATCAACTTTCTTGATGACTGCAAATTTAAGTGTTCGAATTTTTAGTCGACTATTAGTGTTTATTCGAATATCAAGTTACTTCCCATTATGTAAGGTGTAACGGTGGACGGCGTTACATACAACAGTAATATCATCCTGATAACCCTCCTTGTTTACGCCTTCCTATATTGCGCATCCTTTTGTACTTATTATGTCTTGTATTGTGCATTAGTTTTTCCGCCTGTTCATCGTTAAATTATTTTCATTCGATTAAAGTTATGTTTCCTAAACATTAGGTATAGATAAACTTTTATTACTGAACTACTTTTGTTGCCTTCATGCCTCATTGTACTACACACTGTCGACATCACTGTGGGAAGCTCTCCTGTGTTGACTTGTGCGTGTTTACGACCTCTAAGTGCTTTCAACAGCATATTGTGTCGCTCAGTTTTGTTTTACGACGTTTTCTATTCATTCTGTGTGGAACTTGCAGTCCAGTGTTACGTATCCCTGTGCAACAAGTGTAGTGATAGTGGTTTCCCGTGCAGTAAATAAAGACGTGTATATTTTGAAAGCTGACTTTTACTTTATGGTGGATATACATATGTTCGAGATGAATGAGGATTTTAATTTAGAGGTAGTAGCCATCACGGACTGACATAAGTTGTGGAACTATTGACAACCTGAAAGTACTGGAAAGCTGTTTGTTCCTAGTATGAGACTCCTCAGCTGTACGCATTCACGACCTGGCCAGAGAGCGGACTCATGACCTTCAGGTGAGAGTTCACAACTGTGTTGATTGACTTGCTATCCTTGCCTTGCGTTATCAACTAGATGAGTTACATGCTTGTTTCTATTTCAGTCCTATCATGATAAAGTTGTATATTGGGTCAACCACAAATTTTGAGTGTTTACTAATAGCTATCAAAGATAGATTACTTGAGTGCTTAATTTAGTGTGCACAAAGAAGCAACTATAGGATTACCGAAATAACACTTGCCTATAAATTAAAAATATTTGAATGAAAGACATGATAGCTAATTTTGTGAGACCATCTCGACAACTGTACGATCACATGCTTCCCCGGTAAAACAGTCGACAATTACGGTTAGTATTTGGTTGGATATAATGACGAGGACTGAGGTGAATGAAAGGCATGAAAAGGCTGCTTTAGAACAGAGTGATTCAAGTTTGAATGAGGTGTAGTCAAAAAAGCTCAATAAGAGGATGTACGTAATATGGAGTTATTGACGACAGGAAGTCGGTCTTCGAAGCTGATAATGGAAACTATGGTGAGAGGCTAGACAGAATACACCAACAATTGCGTACAACATCTGCATGCCAATTTGTTTCCATGCTGTGAAGTGGTCTAATGAGTAAAATATCCTTTAAGTGTTTCTGCATGTTGTAAAGTGCTTTGAATGGTGCCTGAGTTGTGATGTTGTGACCAGTTTCGATGAGTTATGTGATAACCAGACTACTGACAAATTCATTACTGGTTGTAAGTCTTTACTAGAAATTTTGTCCTTTCTTGTGTTTTGTTGTGGGCATAGCTTCTGATAGCAAAATACCCAAGCATATCTTGAAAATGAAATATCTCGTAGGGCGGAGTTGTGACCAACATCACAGTGTTTAGTTTTCATTGGTGAATTAGTTTAAACTATCGAATATTTGGTGTGACCCTTGGGTTTGTTGATGTGATGAATTAACTGATACATTTATTGATTAGTTTTCTCAGTACTCACATGATATTAAACGCTGTTAACCAAACGATAGATGAAGTTTTTCTGGTTCCAATGAAGTCAGTAATTATTCAATAAGAACCTTTGACTTTGTTATTGAATGAAGAAGCTTTGTGTTACTGAGAATTAATTATTATCTTTGTCGCTTAGGATACGCTGTTGGTCTGCAAACAAAAAGGAATGGAATGCAGCTGTGCATATTCATGCTAATAACTTTCAGTAATTGAAAACTAATAAATGTGAAATGTGATACTGATTTCAGGCCAACAGACAGAATATCGATGTATAGCGTGATAGAGATATGCGTCAGGAAGTCGACTAACACTGAAACAAGAAACATAGAGACCGACTACTTACACGGAAGAGTCAACAGCACTGACTGACAAAGGTAGAGAATATCGTGTACAAACTAAAATATTGTGCTGAACCAAGGAAACCTGGTTCTTATCTGAAGGAAAGGATTTTCTCATTACCAAGAGCCGTAGAGACTGACTTCTCATACGAAAAGGAATTTGTCAGTGCCAGATGTACAACACACATAACAAATCATGACTAGTCCTAGAGTCCTTAGAAATTTCCGTGTGCTATGAAGACGAAGTTCCTCCAAACTGTGCTAGTTAGTTTTATGCCGCAGTAAGTGTAACCTTACACCGCCTGAAATGCATCTTTAAATGGGATTTCAGGCCGAAATTGGTTGGCTGTGTGGATTGTTTGGAAGCGTATTGAAGTACTTATCTGAACGCGTAGCTTTTGTAAGGCCATTGGTGGGCAGCCTGATTCACCACCGAGTCACCTCACATAAGATTTTCATATGATTTTCTGAGAAGTTGTACCACCTCAGAGGCTCAGACTACTGAGACTAAAAACTATCCTGATTATGATTCTATGAGCTGTAAGGTTTACTGTGAAGCTTAAAAAGATGCCAACTGTACTGCTTGTTAAAAAAGTGTCATTCGGTTGACGAAATTGTGGAGGGCGTTTAAGATCGTCGCTATGAATATTGTGAAGTCCAACCGTGCCACAAATTTATGGGAGCCGCTGAAGGTAAGTTAGTCTAGCATTGTTACACTGCTTCATTGTTTATCGAATAAATCGATTTCTCCTTGATGTATTAAATTCATCTGGATTGATAGAAAACATTCAAATTGGTCCTAAGCAGCCTGCATACTCAATTAATCATAAAACAAGAAACTACTGTGAACATATTTAAAGATAGGGTCACCTTAATAAATTGTCATAGGAATTGCGTCTCCGCAACACAGCTTGACGGATCAAAGGATTTGACGACTATGAATGTTGATCGGCTATACAACGGAATAGATTGCTAAGGCATTTGAAAAAGCAAGATGGATTTCCCTTACTAATTTCCGGAAACACCTTATTACTGCTGGTCTCAGGCAGAAGCGGAAACAGGGGAAGCGAGTTACGTAGATTTCGATGCAAGCTACAAAAATTACATTCGTAGGAAATCGGTTATTGACGAAAAAAGTCCCGTGGTTTTACACATGTTGAGGGGTACGTAGAAAATGTAGACGTTGACATGCAGAAAAATAACTTTCAATCTAGGGATTAATCGAAAGAACGTTTCATTAATATAAGTGAAAAACTTGGGCACTGTGGTAGAATGTAGTTCCATATTAGATTTGTTTATTTGACATAAAGCGCACAGTGATACAGTATTATTTAATTGAATGTTTCTACCCAGTCTGGAAACACAATGAACTGTGCCTTACATGTAGATCCTAACCACATAGTATATAAAAATGTCGTTAATATACGAATGTTAAGAAGATTTAATAGATCAGGGAGGAATTAATTTATTCGATAAACAATGTAGCGAGATAACAAAGCTTAACTAATTCAACGTCGGCCGCAACTATAAATTTATATTAACGCGTGAATCTAGCCAGCATAGGCAGGCTTCATATTATTCAGATAGACAATCTATAACGTCTCCATATTTTCGTCAACTGGGGGACATCGTCTTTTCACAGGCAGTGTTGTTCATGACTTTCTCAACTCTGCAGTCACCAGCTGTAATTGTGATAAATTATAGATACTAGTAACCCTAAACAATGTATGAATGCAAGTTGCTACAAATTGTGTGCGTACAAAAATGCGAAAGCATATGTGAGAGAAGGTATGGAAATGAATTGACAGTATCAGTGGTTGTAATAGGTCACAAGATGAAACGAAGTAACTGAAATTGATCATTGAGATATTTGAGATCATGATGTGGATAGATAGATATGCATCATGAATGCATCTGCGTTACGACAATCGATTTATAATTCGGCTAGTCAGAGATTTCAAACGTCGGTTTCGGTTGTTTTCTGACTTCGAACAGGGATCTCACACTTGATTACGCGGTATAAATCGACAGTCATCAAGTTCACGCATCGCTTGTAAATCTTGAGTGTGCCAGTATCAGCTCTCTTCACTGAGTAGTTATAAGGATGGTTGTGAGAGAAGGCAGCCAGTAGGAATGTGTAACGCATTCCATCCATTTCAGTTGATAATGACTCACAATCCTACAAACTGACTCGTCCTTCTTAACGTACTCGTCATTTTCCACTTGTGTTGGCAACGTTGTGGTTCAATCATGCAACATCGATGCTGTTCCAGTCAACAGTTGTCAAGTTGTTGGATCCATTGGAAATACTTCACATTTTGTTTCGGATTTCCGCTACCGTATAGTAGAAGTAGGCTGAATGCTAGGCACAGCAAGTGGTTTTATAAAAGTAGTCCGATGCCGCAATCACGCCTTAAACATTTTGAGCTAGCAAAATAAGACCAGCTTCTCAATATCCTAGTTTGCTTTCTTCATGGCATATTTTGTATACATATTACAAAGTGTAAACAGAAGACATTTCATGTGAACAAACGATTATTCGTTAACCCAACATTCCAAATCTTAACTGGCCAGGCACCATATCACTTTCAGGTGTATTTGGCTCAAATTGCGGAGTTATAATATGCATATTTACAAGTGTGATGACGGAGTTCCAGTTCACTGATGGGAGATTCCTTGATGTAAGCCAGTCGTGACTATATCTAAGAGGATTCATAAACTTATACCACATCCAGTATCTGAAGGTCACTATTTACATTTATAACTGTGATATAGGTCTTCTGTAATAATTAGTTCTTAACTTCGTCCCACTTTGTGAATTTCTCATCTGAAATCACAAGGTGTAGACCATGTACAACTCTTCTAGTTACCAAAAGCTAAATTAATTTCTTTGATTCACCGTTCGA